AGTATCGGAGAGATTCAAAGAGCGTGGGTCCCATTGTCCTCGGTCCCCTTATTACTCCGCCTCACCGCTCAGGCCCCCTTGAGACTCCGCTTCACCCCTCGGGGCCCCTTGACACGTACCTGTCACGTGATCCTAATAAAAAAATGTTAAGCTTCGTAAGAAAATACATGGGATTTTGAGCTCGTCCCGGCCTTGTTCATCTACTGATTTGAATTTCCCGCCTTACGCGCGGTAGCTCCTGATTGGTCGACTGGGTAATGACGAAAAGTGAAGGAGTGGGCTCTGAAAGTCTCAAGCCTCGTTCACACAGAATAGACGTATGTCAAAGACAAGGCGCTGACCTTTGTCCCTTTCGTGTGAACTGAGCCTGAGGTCCAAAAAACGCCAGAATGAAGCGCCATAAGAAAATACCCGGGATTTCGAGATTGAATTCCTGTTGCTATATTACTTGCAACTGGTCGATATTTCACATAAAATTGAAAGAAGTATAATTGTCAAGTGTATTTAAAAGAAAGTGTAACTATCACCTGATTATTAGTTTTGACATACGTACATTTGTTATAGATATAATTGTTAAAATGATTCCACTCACATCTGAATCAGGGGTTTCCTTACCGAATGCATTTCTAACTCAGATTTGATTGTTCACAGACTTGGGTAAGGTAACGTAATACAGTTCTGGTCAGCATAACGATCATTTTCCTCTAGCAATCGAGGTGGTGGCAGGTTCGTAATGAAATTATTTGTGCAGGTGTGTCGCGCGGGTCTCTTCGGCGGCCCCGTAGCTTACGGCACCTGCTGCCACCGCTGTTTCTGGCGCTGCCGCTGCTGAGGCTGGCGTGACGCCCCCGCTGAAAACAGCTGAAAACAGCATGCCTACTTACCTCACGCTCACACGTGAGTCTCTATCTATCTATCTCTATTCCTTTCATTATTGAACTGAAGGAACCATCTCTGATCAATAAAAAAAATCAAGGTGAAGTTTTTCTCTCGACCAAAAACACAATTGAAATATCTTCACGAGACTGATTTTGCTCGAGTATGAGCAAACGCGGCACCTATCTTACTCACAGTTTTCTCGTGTCCAAATTTTCAGATGATATACGATGTACCGCACTTTTTGAAATACCCACTGACTCTGCAAGCTCGCGCACTTTCAGTCGATGATTATTCAGTACCGCTTTGTGGATTTTTTTCACGGTTTCTGAAGTCGTCACCTCATTTGGTCTTACCACTGCGATGCTCATCTTTCAAATAAAAGTATGTACTACATAACGATAACCGATTTTCTCCATTTTCACTAATTCACCGAAAACGTTGGCTAATAATGGCTACCAAACAAATAGTAAACAACGCAGCGTCTTCAAACTTGAAACATATGCTTTATAGATTGTTTAGATAGATTTCTAATACCGTGATATTTTTTGAACAACTATCGCCATCTCTAGGTTAGGCCGAGTATTTCTGGGACCACCCTGGTACAAATATCAACGACATATGACAACTGAAACGGAGGAAAAATACAAAGAATAGCCAACTCGGCAAAAAACAAATAAGCTACAAATAAAATCCCTATACGATAGGGCCGATGACTCAAATGATCAAAAAATTCATGAAAAAAATTAATTCTTATAAATGAATGTTTGAAGGTGGTTGACAATGTTTCGTGGTGTATTTCATCAGTTCGTTGGTCGTTTTTCGCTTGATTAGAGGTTTCCATATGTTACGTATCTCTACGCTAGCTTGACTAAATGCGTTGTTGGACAACATATACGCTGCGTCTTCGAATTTTCTGCTAAACCAGTGTTCGTCTTTGTGGATGATTTCAGCTTGAGTCCACTCGATAATATGTTGATGAGTCCAAACATGCTCTGCTATTCCGGATTTGCTGGTTTCTCCTCGCTGTGTGTGTTTCTTGTGCTCAGCAATGTTCTCCAGCAATGGCCTCTTAGTTTCACCGATGTATGATTCTCAGCACTCGCAGGATATCTGGTAGATGCATTTCTTGAAATCGCAATCCGCGTTTGGTAGCCTGGTTTTCGTGAGGCTGCTACGAATAGTGTTCCCAGATCTGAACCAGGTTCTGATGTTATACTTGGACCCAATCCTTTTTATCCTTTCCGATAATCCTTTGATGTAGGGAAGTACAAGTACTAGTTGTGGCGGTTTCTTTTCCTTGTGGAGCTCTTGCTGTCTTCTAGCTGAAGCCTGTTCTACCATCACTCTGGAGTAACCATTCTGTTGAAGGTCATTTTTGATGATGCCCAGTTCCTTTTCGAGACCTTCCTTTGTACTACAAAGCCCGAAAGCACGGTCTAGTAGAGTCTAGTAGATTCCTCTCTTAGTCGATTGAAGGTGGTTGAATTTCTGGTTCAGATACTGTCCTATGTGAGTGGGTTTTCGATATACTGATGTTTCCCATTTCGTGTCGGTTCTCTTCTACGCCTAAGAAAGGAAATTCGTTGTGGACTTCCTTCTCCATTGTGAAAGTGACGTAACAAATCAATTTATATTATATTAGACAATGGAAGTCTGACGAAATATCTCATAAATGAATTTGTATCATAATCAGATTGAGTGAAAAAAAGAAAATTTGAGTATATGATGATGAGTTTTATGGATAATCATTTTAGAAGATGAAATGAGCTGTTGAGAATGCAAAAAATAATAATTAGTGGCATAGCAACATTTTTCTGTGATGTTTCGGTAATCCAACTGATGGACTGGTTAGGCAAAAGATTTGTGAAAAAAACATAATTGATTTTGCCTTTGGGATGTTTTGGTTGAATGAAATTGAGTTTGAAAGTCTATCAACTCAGGAAATTTGGTAGCCATTTGCAGTTCAACATTTAGAAGCAGGACACATTGAATTCTGCCAAGTATGAACCGTTTCGATATCATGAATTCTCTTCATAGATCCCTGAAGATGAACTTGGTGACGTTTGAAATACTGTCAAAACAAGTAGTAGTTCTTTTGATTCTTCTTCTGAATATTCCACCATTCGCACAGATTTGTAATCAATCATGAAAATACGCATAACTACTCAAATTCGAACCATGATGGTAAAGAATGAATTGTGATGAAATTGTCTGTTTTAGAGTTCAACTGAATAATAACAAAAAACGACTCTAATTTTTTTGATTGCGACCCCAGAAAATTTGAAATTTATGGTATAGCTCTATGTTGTTCATTCTCATTGATATCTTCATTCAAACTCATACATGAAATTTTCCAATTAGCTATATATACACGTTGTCGTACAACTTGGGCTTTCCTCAACTCCCAAATTTGTAAATCAGGTTTGATTGTTGCTATTTTCAATTACATTTCATCTTATATTTTTCTGAACCTAGGAGAGAAAAAAAGGGTGAAAAGTTGAAACCAGTAATACAATTCCAATTTGAGAGACGTCTATTTCGGTTTAATATTTCGCTTTAATTATGTATCTTTGGAGTCCAAACTGGATGGGAAAAACTGATTCCCGTGAAAGATAAGAATGAGGTAATTTTGTTGATATTTTTTATTGCAGAATAGTTGATCAGGGATGGTGAATTCAAAAAATATGTATCAATTATTATTTCCGTAAGCCATGTCACCACCTCTATATGTTGCTTAATTTTATTTGCATGACATTTTTTATAGCTATGTGTTACTATTATAGATGTTGCCCAAAATGTTGAACATTTTTTATATTGACTGGAGCACTGACGACGTTTCGATT